GAAAGCATTTTGAATTGAATGAAAACAAAGTCAACAGCAAAATATACAGAACAAAGCGGAGTAGTACTTAAGGAGGAATCAGGGACCAAAGCCTTTTTATCAGAAAAAAGTAAAATGCTGTAAATTGAAGACTCAGGCTTCCATGATTTGAAACTTAAATGGAGTTTGTTGTGTATCAAAGTGAACCCAAAGTAAGCGGAAGAAAGCAAATAATAAGATCAAAGTAGAAATGGGAGAAAAAATGAAGCATAAATAGAGAACATCAATGAAATCAGTCAGTTGGTCTTATGGTTAAGGTTAAAGATTAACTCATGAAACTTTTGTTGAGAATGTGGTAGAACTAAAATTACCACACACTCTCATATGACGACTTTGAAAGACCGTGTGACTGATTGGTGGTTGTCTGGGCAAGTAGAGAGATGGATTACCAAGGAAAAGAAGGAGACTTTACAGGTGGTGAATATGTCCACTCACTGATTGTGGTTTCATAGATATATACCTATGTTAAAACTCATCATATATTTTACGTATGTTTAGTTTATAGCATTACAATTATCTTGTAATAAGGGTTTTAAAATATGTGTATTAAGGGGTTGAGATTTAATGAAAGCAATAATTTTTAATTGCTTTATCAATGAATTCTCCTAAGTGAGAATGGCTCTTTTCTTTTGTTTTATCTTTCTTTTCTTTCCCCCCTTCTCTGCATGGCAGTAAAGACTATGACTATTATAATTTTGTGTCCTTGCTGGGTGGGGTGGCACAAGCCTGTAATCCTAGTGGCTTGGGAGTCTGAGACAGAAGGATCACTAGTTCAAGGCCAGCCTCAGCAACTTAGTGAGGCCCTAAGCAATTTAGCGAGACCCTGTTTCAAAATAAAATATAAAAAGGGCTGGGGATGTGCCTGAGTGGTTAAGCACCCCTGGGTTCAATCTCCAGTACCAAAAAAAAAAAAAAAAAAAAAAAGTAATAGTAATTCTGTGACCATTCTTTTTTGTTTTTCTTTTTAAAAATATTTTTTAGTTGTAGATGGACACAGTCTTTATTTGTTTGTCTTTATGTGGTGCTGAGGATCAAACCCAGGGCCTCACACCCCCTAGGTGAGCACCCTATCACTGAGCCACAACCCCAGTCCTTCTGTGACCATTCTTGATAGGAGCTAAGGGACTAGCAGTTTTACCCACCATTGTTTTTGCAACATTTGTGCAAAGTCATTGCACTAAAAGGGTAACTCTTGTCTTAGTATTATTATAAAAACTAATTTGGCTTTGGAGAAATACAAAAAATTCTCAGGGAATCCTCAGGGGTCCATAGACTACATTTTGAGAAATGCTCTTTCTTTCTTTCTTTCTTTCTTTCTTTCTTTCTTTCTTTCTTTCTTTCTTTCTTTCAGTACTGGGGATTGAACCCAGGGTCACTTAACCATGGAGTGACATCCCCAGCCCTTTTTATCTCTTATTTTGAGACAGGGTCTTGCTAAGTTACCTATTGCCTCATTAAGTTGCTGAGGTTGGCTTTGAACTAGCGATCCTCCTGCCTCAGCCTCCCAAGTCACTGGAATTACAGGTGTACTCTACCATGCCTGGAGAGAACTGTTGTTTTTAGTAGAACATTCTAGTCAGTATTTCTTTAGTGCAATGATGTCACTTTAAAGATGGGACAATGTGTGTGAAAATCCTGCTGTGGCAGCTTTGTGAGGAAGGTCTTTTTTCTTTTTTTTTTTTTTTTTGGCATTTGGGTTCTGCTAGTCTTTTAAACCACAGTATAGAATCTATACTAAGATGATAACCACTCCTCTTGTTTTTTTGGTGCTTTTTTTTTTTTTTTTTGTACTGGGGGTTAAACCAGGGATGCTTTACCACTGAGCTATATCCCTAGCACTTTTTATTTTTTATTTTGAGACAGGGTCTCACTGAGTTGCTTAAGGTCTCACTAAGTTGCTGAGAGTCCAAGTTGATTACTTGCTGAGGTTGGCCTCAAATTTGTGATCCCCCTACTTCAGTCTCCTAAATTGCTGGGATTACGGGTATGTGCCATCTTGCCTAGGGATCACTGCATAGACAACTGATTTATTTCCATGATAAAAAGCAGAGCCTGGGACTTTAATTAAAGTGTAAAAGTTATTGGTTATATCCCATTGAAAGAGTTTTAGGGCAGCAAAAATTGGCCTAGGGAAAAAATAGCAGATATAAGGGATTTCTATAAGTTTCTAGAATAAAGGAGAAAAGAATAGAAAAATGAGTGAAGGAAAATGGAAGAAGGATATTTAGACACAGAAATGTGAAAATAAGAAAGGTAGGGATATCTACAGTTGGGTTGGGTAAATTGATCAGCCTCACTATGTGAAATATTTTAGTTTGTATGAGATCTGTCATATAGATGCATTTGTGGTGCTTTACCACAAAATGAATTGCTCAGACCTGCCTTCAGGGAAAGACTGCTCTGGCTGTTGAGTGTGGCTGGGTGCAACTTACTTGGCAGCAGAGATATTAAAGGGAAATCCCTCTATCTGGCAGGAAGATAAAACCCCAATCATTTTGGCCATCACAGGACAGGCTATTTAAATCCCATAGCTCCCTCTGAGGTTGAGTGAGGCTGTGGGGCCCACTTCCCTGCTAACCTGTCCCTCATTCTGTTCCTCCTTCTTCCCACAGGTGTCTGTCCCAGAGGTACTTCCTAATTCACATCTGCTTGCTAAACTGTTTCAGATTCTGTTTTTTGTAAATCTCAACTGCAATAGCATCTTACTTACTTAAATGTATCTCAAATTAGAGAACTCTAGGGAATAGAAAATCATTGTCAAGTAACTTGTTAAAATTTTAGCTCAAGCCAGAGCTTGGTGGCACTCACCTGTGATCCCTGTGGTTTGGGAGGTTGAGGCTGGAGGATCATGAGTTCAAAAACAGCCTTAGGAATAGTGAGGCACTAAGCAACTCAGTGAGACTCTGTCTCTAAATAAAATACAAAAAGGGGTGGGGATGTGGCTCAGTGGTTGAGTGCCCCTGAGTTTAAACCCTGGTGCCCCACCCACCAAAAAATAAAATCTCCAGCAACTGGGGAGGCTGAGGCAGGAGGATCATAAGTTTGAGGGTAACCTGGGCAAATTAGCAAGACCCTGTCTCAAAATAAAGAATATAAGAACTGGGGATATAGTTTAATGGCAGAGTACTCCTAGGTTCATGCTCCTATTAAAAAAAAGGCAGCAAGTTCAACTTTTCCCGTATTTTTTGTTTTGAGTTGTTTATATTTAGCATAATATTATATTCACATTTTGATTCATCTAGGTTTGCCATTTACACCCCTTTTCTTATAAAAATCATACTGTGAAAATATAAAAAGGTAATAATAGGTTAAGAAAACTAGGTTCTTTATTACCACTCTGGAAATCCTCTTTTTCAAGGCTAGCTTAAGCATCAAGAGAGGAAATATATTGGGATGTGTAATAATGATTTAATTCTGAACATTGGACCAATAGAAAGTTCTGAAGTGATTCAATTATCTCTATTACATACTGATATTCTTTATTACATACTGTTCCTGTATGTAATAAAGAAACTATTTGTGTTATTTAAGCCTGTATATTTTTGTCACTCAAACTCTTGGACAAGAATTAGATTAACAGGACTGGGGTTAAGGCTCAGAGGTAGAGCCCTCACCTAGTATGCATGAGGCACTGGGTTCCATCCTCAGCACCACATAAAAATAAAATAAAGATATTGTGTCCACCTATAACTAAAAAAAGAACTAGATTAGCAATCTTGATCTAAGAAAAGGAGGTACTTCTATGCTGTCTTCCCTTCCAGTTCCAGATGGGGGCAGGACAGTGTATATTCCCCAGCCAGTCCTCTGTATTTAAAAACTGACCTGTAGCCAAGCCTGGGCAAATAGAGTGGATGGGTCTTGTAGCAGTGCTTATTATCTTCCAATACTTGCTCTAATTTGTAGGAAATAGTTTTCTTTTTTTTTTTTTTTCAACATCCCTTTTCTGATTTTTTTCGGGGAACTCTGTTGCTGGAAGATGACTCAGGAGAGACCAAGCCCTAAACCTCACTGTGGCCGAAAAAGAGGACTCTTTATTTAGTACAGATGCTTTTTTTTCTGGAGGGGGTGGGTACCAGGGATTGAACTCAGGGGCATTCGACCATTGAGGCACATCCCTAGCCCTATTTTGTATTTTATTTAGAGACAGAGTCTCACTGAGTTGCTTAGTGCCTCGCTTTTGCTGAGACTGGCTTTCACCTCCTGATCTTCCTGCCTCAGCCTCCCCAGCAGCTGAGATTACAGATGTGCACCATTTCCCCGGCCAGATGCATTTTTTTTTTCTGAGTATTTTTGATTTATGATTGGTTGAATCCTGGGATGCAGAACCCATGGAAATAGAGGAACAATTGTAAATAAAATTGTTTTTGTGTTTTCCTTTTGGAGGCATACACTAGAGAAGATTGAGAGCCTCCATATATTCTAGAATTTATATATTTCATATAATTACTTCAACCATACTTCTCAATTTGGATGTACGTATCTCACAAGGCAGGCAACTATTTGTGAGAAAAGATAAAGATGCACTGTTATAAATATTTATTCTTGAGGGTTCCAGTTCAGGCTTTCTCCAGGGGGTTCAGTTTCCTCATCTGTCAAATGGGATTAGTAGATTAGAGGATCACGGAAAAGGTAGTAGAACAAGGCCTGGTACAGAATATTCAGTAAATGTTTTCTTAAAGAGCTTCAGAAAAAAACACTTCCTAAGCCCCAAGGTCTGATGAACCCTTTCTCCCTTTCTCTTCCCTGCATGGCACTGAAGATCATAAAAAGGCTCTTCCATGTCTCTTCCTTCCTTCCTTGCATCCTCTCCAAGACAAAGAAGTGGCCTTCTTTGTTCCCTCGGATTCGGAAGCTTGTGTCACCCAGGGCAGCCCAGCCCCCTGGTTTGCTAAGGTCTGGGGGAGGAGGGCTGCGGCTGCGGCCTGCGTTGCGCAGCTGGAGGCGATGGGAAGGCGGGCGCAGTGGACCCAAGGGTGGAGAAGGGGGAAGGCGACGGACGCGCGTTCTCGGGCTCGTGACCGCCGGCGGCCCGGGCAACCCGCGCCTACACAGCTTTCGAGAGATGGCAGGCGGCAGTGACCGGCGCGTCGTGGGCACCCTCCACCTGCTGCTACTGCTGCTGGCCCCCCTGCCCCTGGCAGCCCGTGCTTACAGTCGGGCCCCAATTGCCTGGACCCAAGAGAAGGTGAGGGTCTGTTTCTGCGTAATTGTACCTGAGTGGCTCTTGGCGGGTGCCGGGACCCGGGGCTCGGCCAACCCTACATAGGCAAAGTGGGAGGCAGGGCAGAGCTGCGTCCCGGGCTCAGGAGCCGGCGCCCCAACACAGCGGCCCCGGGGAGTTGGGAATGCGTCCTCGCCAGGGTGCTTCAGCTGGCCCCGGGGCTGCTTAGCAGACGTCGGGGGTGGGGGGGTGGGGGCCTGGGTGATGTCACTGGCTTCCCCTCGACTGCGGTCTAATGGGCGTGCTGATAGGCACAGGGAGTGTGTATTGTCCGCGGTGGGCAAGCAGCAAACGAGGGCACATCGCGACCCTGGAGGCCAGCAGTCTTGGCGCACCAGGGCCGCCAGGGTGCCAGGGTGCTGGGAACGCTTGGGGATGTGCCCTCAGCTCACCATTCTGCATCTCCAAGGATGCGCTCCTAGCGTTGAAGTTTCCCTGCCATCTCAGGACCTACGTGTGTTGTTTTAGATTTATTAAGCCGAGCAACTCTAAGGAAAGGAGAACCTTAACTGAAATTCCACTTTACGATTTTTTTTTTCCCTTAAAAGAGGGTACATGCTGTTTTCAGGGAAACACATCTAGTTGTAGTGGAATTCTCATATAGGAACTTATGGTGAAAGTGATTTGTAATTCCTTCTCTGTGAAGTAAATAGATTCACAATTACTTCCTTTTCTTGCGTTAACAGTTTTGAAATCATGAAGTTGCTGAGGGCTCGTGTGAATGTTAATGGCATTGGAGTGAAACGGTATACTTTTAAAGAAATTACAAAAAGCAGCAAAGTGGAGTGATATGAACTTTTTCAATATTATTGAACAGCTCTTCCAAATGCTTTCTGAACGCCTGTGTCTACTCAAACTTTTGAAATGCAGGGCACATTGGTGACTGCTCGCTCCCACACTAACACATGCATATGTATGAGAATAGCCCACTTTAGTCCTGATCAGGCTTAATCAGCTTCACCCTACACCAGGCACCCACTTATCTAGGGAGACCAGCAGCCACAGGGAACCTGATGGGGGTGAGAGGGAGGTCAACTCCAGTCATTTCAAGGAAAAAAACTTCCCACTGGGGTTGGCTAGAAGTGATGCCCATGAAGAAGACCATTAAATTACATGCAAAATTCTCATATTCATTACTCCTCTGGGAATACCTTATGGGTCAGACATGGGGAAGGGGATATTAATAACCAGAATGTGGGGCCATACCAGATGTGTAAGACACATCTAAATAAATGAGAATGAGATGGAAACTGTTAGAACTAGCTGTTCAGAAGGGATCATTTGTAGGCATGTGTAAGCAGGGGGTATTTGTGGGTAGGAGAAGGTGCTGTGTGATTCTTAAAATGTTTTAAGTTAATGAGAATTTAACTTTTGAGAAATGTCTTTAATGCATGAGTTCCTACTAAGTTTGTATTAAGAAGCTTTTAATCACTGTTCCATTGGGAAACTGAATAGTTTCAAGTGGCATAAGCACATGAAGCAAATGATATAAGTAAATGACAATCAACCGTGACATTTCCACATTTCTAGCCCCCCTCCCTTGTGCTGTAGGCCTTCATAAAGTCTTCCAGGCAACCAGCTACAGCTTGCAGCCTGGTGATGACTCAGTTCACTCTAAAATACATGCCTTCCTGCTTTTTATGACATTTGGATATTTTAATCATGTGAGGTGTGCCCTTGGTACACTGGTTTGCCAACAGGAGAGGTGTGGTAAAGAAAGCATCGATTTCTAAATCTATTTCCTTTGTTTTGAAATAAAGGTGTGTCTCTTTCAGTGGCATCTAATATGTAAAAACAGATCAACAATGGTGTATGGTTGTGTATAGAAGACCATGATCTGGTTATTTGAAACCTGGAAACAATTTTTCCATGGAAACAGTATCATAAATCTTTAAACTCCCAAGTGGGTCCACGCATATATAATTAGGGAGGATGAAGAGGCATGGTTATTTCTTTTTCTTTTTACAGTACCAATCTTTTTTTTTTTTTTTTTTAATTTCAGCTAATGTTTATTTGGCCTGTGTGGAGCATAATACTTTCATGAACAGCACCAATCATTAAAAAGAATTTTTTTTGAGTTGCCAACCCTCCTGCTTCAGCCTGCAGAATAGCTGGGATTATATATTATGCCACTGTGCCCAGCTAAAAGGTAGATTTTTTTTTTGAAGATGGGAACCACATACAGGATAATTGGCATCACCTAGGATGCCTACTCCAGAGTGGGCTTTGGAAAACTGTTAAATGTTTTCTATAGCATTTTATATTCTTCTGCTTATGGATCCATATGTATTTTAATTTTTTGGGTACTGGGGATTGAAATTGGGCACTTTGCCACTGAGCTACATATCCAGCTCTTTTTGTTTTTTATTTTTGAGACAGGGTTTCACTAAGTTACTGAGGGCCTTACTAAGAGGCTGAGGCTGGCCTTGAACTTGCAATCCTCCTGCTTCAGCCTCTCCAGTTGCTGGGATTTTACAGGAGTACACTACCATGCCTGGCCAGAACTGCATGTATTTTAAATCTTTAGGGTTTCTCTCCTCCATTACCCTAAGACCTTAGTCATCCACCCTTCCACCTGCATGAGTCTTCTGGAAGCAACCATGGAGACACCAAGGCAGGGACAGGGAGCTCAGTGGTAGGCTGGGTGTTGACAGAGGGAAAAAGAACACATCCTTTTGGAACCTCTCCTGTTTTGTGGGTAAGTACTATAATACCCATTTACACATTAGAAACCTTTTCTTAGACACTGCTAATAAATGAGGAAGCTGGGAATTGACCTTCAATTGTTGTTTTTAAAGCCTGCTCTGCTCTAATTTTAAGAAGGGACTGCTTGCATTTTAAAAAGACAGATGTTATCTCATTCACTTCCCAACTCTTTCCCAGCTGCGTTTGTAATGTCAGTGGCATGTAACACACAGAAGTTCAATAAGTGCTGGCTGAGTTAAATTTGCAGGCAGACAGAAGTGTTAATCTGAGGGCTGGCTGGAGCCCTCCTATAGGTTGGAAGCTTGACTTGAATTGGTGGCATGTCTATGAGGATTTCCCCTTAATTCAGTGGTTTGGAACCTCAACTTACGCTGCAAGCTGGGCCAACTCTCCAAATTATGTAACTAAACCCCTCTCTGACTTAGCACCATGTGATTAGCAGAGAGGAGATGCTTCAGGATAGCTGGTTCACACTTTTTTTTTTTAGCTAAAAGATTCTTGTCACCCAGAGCAGACTTATTGTCCTTTCTGCCTGGATGAAAAGACAAGGCCGGGACTGTAATAGAACCTTGCTCCTCTGAGAATGCCTGCACCAATGGAAATTGTCTAAGTGACTTTAAACTGAAATGAACCTAGAATAACTTGGGGTTTGCATTTACTGCTGGGCTCAACTCTGTTTTTGCCTCTGTTACTGTCTTCCCACTGAGTGCACCCTTTTTCCCCCTCAAGTTTCTCCTCTTATTTGGTCTTTTCATCTGCACGTAGGTGTTTATATTTATGGAGTTCTGAGACTAAGACTCCTTAATAATTGAATGTATATGCTATTTAGAGTGGGAAGGTCAGATGCTCTTCCATACGGGGTTTAATAATAGATGAGTCTAAGTAATAAACTAAGTGTAGCTATTTTACCTTTTCTATTCTGCACTGACTGGGAAGCTTGTATCTCTGTGAGTCAATAGGACATCTTTTTTTTTTAAATATTTATTTATTAGCTTTAGGTGGACACAATATCTTTTATCTTTTTTTATTTTTATGTGGTGCTGAGGATCGAACCCAGTGCCTCACGCATGCCAGGCAAGCGTGCTACTACTTGAGCCATATCCCCAGCCGCAATAGGATATCTTTGCTCCCAGAGAGGCAGGGAGGAAGAGGACCCTTTACGGAAGTACATTAATGAATTGCTTGATCTCTGGAGGTTAAGGAGCACACATTAGTCTCTGGATTCATGAGTGTCTATATAAAAATTTATATATATATATTTGTAGACGAAACACAGCTGAAAAATAGCACCCCCAAAATTATATATGGGGGTGCTATTTTTCAGCTGTGTTTCGTCTACAAATATGCCTTACAGTTAGAGACATTGAAGGAATATTTCGCTTCTGTTTTTTCATAAGTCTCATAAGAACTTTTTCAAGCCTCTGTAAATCACTCATTTAAACATGAACTTGATTTTCTTTCACTGTGAATGTGAAGCGCAGGAATGAAGGACCTTGAGCACGATGACCAGGTAGGCTCTGGGCTAGAGTTAAGATAGTAAATAGAAAACAAGATACTCACTAGTCAAACAGCAACACAACAGTTTTTGACTGTCACTCTGACCGCCCTGGGCCAACCTAGATCAAAATTGGCGGAAACATCTACATTCCGAAATGCAAAATGAATGAAACCCGCTAACATTGAACCATGTGACCTCCTGGCTCCTCGGCAGGTAGCCTCTTGTGTGTCCTGTCTTTATACTTGCTTGTGTATTTGACTGAGTTGATGTTTTTGATGACAAAGATGCAAATTTTACTTTATTAACATATAAACACATTCTTAATGAAGACAGTTTTAGAAAGATAGTTCACCTATTGATTCCTTATTTGATGAATTTGCCCAACATTTTTTGAATGCTTAATATGAACCAGCCCCTTGAGTGGCTATGGAGAGGAAGAGAGAGGTAAATAAGACAGTTCAACCCTCATGCAGCTAATATTTCATACAGGGTGTATGAATAAAGATATTAACTCACAGGAGGAGGCCTTTACACCATAGCCAGAGCGGGTAGAATTTTGTCAGGTGAAGAGGAAGAAAAGTAGCCTGAAGTGGCACTGCTGGTCGAAGGCCCCAAGGGAGCAGAGCCTCAGAGTGTTTTGAGGCCTGTAGGGAGGCCAGTGACCAAAGCCCAGTGAGGCGCCCAGTACAAGGGGCTTGTAAGGCAGTGGGAGAGACAGGCAGGCTCCTGTTGGGAGGTTAAGTATTACGTAACCATGGAAGTCCTAAGACCTCTTGCCTCTATTTTCTTCTTTTTCCATTTCCATTGTTTTGTCTTTTAGCTTTAGCTTTTTTCTTCAAGTGCTATTTTGAGACATGATGACTTAGACCCTGGAGATACCAAGATGGCAGTGACAGATCTATTAAGAAAACATACCTAAAAATGTGTTACTAATAAACAAACAGAAACCTGAAGACATTCAGGCACAGCAACAGCATTCAGGAGTAAACTGGAGTACATAGATGAGGCAGAGCACAGGATTGATCGGAGCCCACAGGCCAGGGATCTCTACATGGACTTGCCTGTAGCTCTCCTATAGCTTTGGGTAACAAGCTGATTTCTATGAACCTCAGTTTCCCCTCATTTATAAATCAAGGAGGTTGGGCTAGATCATCTGTAAGTGGCTTTTTCAGTTCTAACATTCTATCCCTCTTTAGTGTTTGATAGAAGATAATAAAATAGAACTAAAACATTGAATAGTTACAATGATAGTATACATATATTAGCTAACTTAATTCTATTTAGCCTAGAATGTAGATGTTATTGCCTCCATTGTATAGATGAGGAAATGGACCCTTAAGGAGGTTAAGTATCCTGGCCAGAATTACAGCATGTTAAACAGAGGATGTTGAGTTGAGAGGATATGTCTGATCCAACAGCTGTGCTCTTTTGCATGATAAATACCAGAGACTGGCCATCTCACAGTGTAGAGAAATCTAAGTAATTAGGCAATAAGCATTTTCTAATTCCACAGTTTCTCACCAGTCACACGCAGTAATTCATCTGGAGTGAAACTATCTGCATGATTATTTCAACATATCCAACTTTACTGGTACAGGAAGGAACTGTAACTAGACAAGTCTCCCTCAATTTCTCTTTTACATTCCAAAGAACTCAGTATCCTTATGTCACTCTTATCATTCCCCTCAGGGAAGAAGTCATCTGATCCATCATCCACTTCCCTTTGAAGAGGAGTGTAACACATTCCATCATTGAGTAATAAACATACAATGTATGAATGATTCATCATTCCCATTATCATAAGAAAATATGGCATGTGTGAAGTCACACCAAAGATGCAAATTTGAATGTGAAGTTTATTTAGCTTTTTAAGTTTCGTTTTTAATATATAAGTGTACCTAAGAGTGTGAATGTCAATAGAATATTAAAATAATTTTAATTGCATTTTTTTTTAAAGTTTACTATTTAGCAGATTGTAGGATCATCAAGCTTGGATTGAAAGGAATGGCAACAATATCTGAATCAGTGCTGTTTAATAGAAACAGATAATGATGTGTTCATATGTAATTTTTAAATTTTCTGGTAACTACATTACAAAAGTAAAAAGACAACAAATGAAATTAATTTTAATAATGTACTATAAATTATGCATGACATAATTTACCTTTTTTTATACTGTCTTCAAAATCCAGAGTTGATATTATACAAAGCATATCCTGATTTGACTAGCTACATTTCAAGTCCTTCTTAGTCATATGTGGCTAGTGGCTCTCATGATGGATAGTGTGGATTTAGATCAAATTCTTTTATTAGTTTTTCTGGGGGAAGGAGAAGTTAAGAAACTTACCCAAGGTCATGCACCTATGAATGACAGCTGGAAGCTTTTGAATACAGCCTCTCTGGTTTGTGACAATACTTATTCTGTAACAACACTGCTTTTTATATGTGCTAGCAAAGCATATTGTTTTGTTGACTGTAGTTTTCTTAAGAGACCGTTTATTTATTTATTTATTTATTTATTAGTTATAGAGGGACACAATACCTTTATTTATTTATTTTTGTGTGGTGCTGAGAATTGAACCCAGTGCCTTACACGTAGGAAGCAGGAGCCCCTCCATAACTGATATTTTTAAACCTAGTTTTACAAAACAATTGTTCAGACATCATTCAAATTTATACAGGTAATAGGTGTGAAACAGTAATTCCCAGGTTAAAAGCATTCTGACAATTTTGTTTTTAAAAAAAGCTGTCAAACTTTTTTTTTTTTAACTTTGTGAATGGAAGAGGCCAATTTCTTAGTTGAGTAGTTTGATTTACCCATGTCATATGATATAAAAATATTCTTTTATTTTGAGAGTTAATGCAATTATTTGCGAATGTGTCAGTCTGTCTTAAATATAAAGTGATAGCCAGTTAAGCAATTTCATTTGATCCTCAGAATTACCACCAACCAGCCATTTTGAATTCATCGTCTCTTCGGCAAGTTGCAGAAGGCACCAGTATTTCTCAAATGTGGCAAAATGATCTACGACCATTGCTCATAGAGCGATATCCGGGATCCCCTGGAAGCTATGCGGCTCGGCAGGTAAGAAGATGATGTACGAATCTAAAGGTTGTTAAATATTTAGTTTTCCAATAAGGGATGATGTCATGGCTGAAGTTCTGAAGTATTTAATGCTCAGATTTGTCACTTCATTACTCATTGTCATAGAAATGTCTTTTGAATTAAGCAAAACATGTTTTTCTCCATAGATCTTTGTGTGAAATCTAGGTCTGAAGTATCAGCTCTTGACCATTTCAATAACATGCCCAAGGCTCCTAACCCTTAAACCCAACATCAGCAACTTTTGCCAGTCCTTTCCTAACAGCTCTGGGCAAAGAGTGAGTCACTGTATTGTCAGTTGTCAGTCATCTTTCTTTCCCCTTAGGGAAATTGCTTTCTCCTCTGAGGCAGTGATGAGCTACTTTTTCTAGAGTAGTGCTTCTCAAACTTCTGACTTTGACCCACAGTGAAAGTATTTTTTTTTTTTACATTTTATACATACAAACATAAAGATATGTGTAGCTGAAACCAATGTTTTGTGAGAAATGCTCATTCTCATTACCTGTAATACACCGGGATATTGTTAATTTCTGTTTTGCTAATTTAAAAAAAATACTGGTCATGACCCACTAAACTGATGTTAGGATTCACTAATCTTACCACTGCTGTTTGGCAGACTCTGCTGTGAAGGGTGGAATTAGAATTTTATCTGGGCTAGACCTTGAATTTCTCTTTGCCTCCGTATTGTATGTCTTCTTAAGCAATCTGAAATCCCACCTCTGAATATCTGCTTTTTCAAACTAGTTCCATCTTGAGGGACATCTTGATAAGGAATGGGACTGGCCCCTCTAATCTTCCTCTAAAACTACTCCACCTGCCCTGCACTGCTCAGGGCAAAGACCTTGATACCAGCTGCCCAGAGAGACTTGCAAGGTCCACTTTGTGGCTTTGGGCTCTTCCTTTCTTACCCCTTTCTGCCCCATTAGTCTTACAGGACAGCTATGTATCTGTTGCCCCACCAGCCTCTTGTCTTCGTCCAATCAGCTCTTCTTGTCTTAAGGAATTAGATGGTGGAGACAGACGGTAAAAGGACCTTGGTACTTTCTAACCTTTAGGCAGACAGAGGAACAACAGTGATGATGATTGACTTCCACTGAGCACTTTTATATTTCATTCAGTCTTCAAAACAATGCCACCTGTGGGTGCCATTATTATCCCAAAGCTATGGATTTAAAAAGACCAGAGGTTTAGGTAAATGAATTAATTTGCTTAAGGTTATGCGTGTACTAGTGATGAAATCAGAATCTGGACCCAAATGTGCTTGACTTCTCCATCCTATCACTCGAGAGCTGAGAGGAACCAATTCTGTGGTAGGCGTACTTAAACAGTTCCAGCTCTGGGTCTTCTCAAATCCAAGTTGGAGTGTGAGGTACATACCATTCATTTCAACAGTGTTCTCTGGACCTCATCTCCCAAGCATTTTCTTAAAAGGTCAAGGCAATCACTTGTGCTTTCCAAAACCCTCAGTTCTTCGCTAGAAAAAAACATAGGTCTATGGTGCTCACTTGATTCAACCTTTTTCATTTTCCCACACTATTTGCTCAGAAGGCTGTTTATGCCTGGAAACACATGTATACTTTAGGTCTGAATTCCTTGCCTATGGGTTGTAAAAGTCAACAAACACAGTGAGTTACAAAATACATATTCATTTAAAAGTTTTTAAATCCACAGTATTATTTTCCACTGCTCCTAGGGGTGGAGGCAAAGGAATAATTGACTGACGTTGTTTTAGAATGTGTTGGGAATGAGGCTGGGCTGTCCATGCAGACGGCTGATGGAGCAATAAATCACAACAGGATGGTTGTGTTAGAAATTTCACTTAAGAGATTCAGTTTTATAATTTTTTTGAGAAGCAAAATCACCTTTAATTTTTAGAGACCTATCCCCTACATTGTAAAAGACAAAGGGCATCCCCTTTTTAAAATGAGGTAGATGACAGAGTAATTATGAGGGCACTACACTAATAACCTTAATTTGATTAGGATTAGAGTCTTTCACTTGGAACTGAATTTAGACAAGAATTTTAGCATTTTTTTTCCTTTTGAGGCCTTTTTGAGAGCTAGATCAGAAGTTTTATAACTCACAAAGCTACAAGGTTATAACTAGAGAAGATTCTCAAATCTGAAAAACTGTGGACTTGATATAATATTGGTTAATGAATTAACTTTTGCAGTTATCAATAAAGATATGCATTGCTATGCATTCTTTTTCAGGATAGGAGAATATTTTGGGGGATCACATGTTACAATCTACATTTTCATGGTCTTTAATCAGTGACTCTAAAACTGCCTATAGGATTATTAGAATATTTTTATTTGAGGAAATAACTTGTTTATAGAATAACTAATGTGAAGGCATTGAATTTTGAAGTAGTCAGTGATTTTTATCTAAGGTTGGAATAAAAAATAACTTAAAAAGCAGAATGATAAGGCCTCCTGATGGAGCAAGAAATATCCTTTGTCCTAAAGAAGCAAACCAGAAGAGTCAGGACCCAACCATTGTGCTGAGAAAAGCCTGGCCTGTGGAGAAGCCACATGTGAGGTACTCTGGTCAATGGTCCATCTTATCTGGTTTTTAGTCATCCAAGTCCAGGCAGCACTCATAAAAGTGAAGAATTCTGCACCTCACTGTTCCAGCCCCTAGGTGTTTGAGGCTCTTCAGAGGAGACCCCAGACATGGTGGGGTCTTCTCCTCTATCTGAATTCCTGCCCACAGAACCTATGACCTTAATAAAATGATTTTAAAAAAATGTCAAAACAACCACCATACAAAAAAGAATCAGTATCTAAAAATCCCCCAAAGGTGCACAGTGCTTCTGAGACACCAAACTGAACGTACCCAGTGGTGTGGGTATTCCAGTGTCCACCCTCAGGCACTGTGTGAAGGGCCTGTGTGGAGGGCCTTCAGCTTGCAACCTCACACTTATTTCAGGTACATCCAAGAAGATGTACCTGAAGTTCACAGGGGCAGAGTGCAGTACCTGACAACAGTGTTTGTAGACTTAGTACAAATACTGGAGAATCTGCTTCCTCCATAAAATTATGGTCTAGTGATGACATTGTTCCTCAAAATCTGAAAATTAGAATTTAAGTTTAATTAAAATTAGACCCAGGATCATCCACTAATGTTAACTTAGAATTAATCCGCCTGTTACCCTATCTGGAAGTAGAATGTCATCTACTAGGCTCCTTACCAGACATTAAGGGGCCAGCCTTTCATCCCTGGAGACTTGTAGTGGGAACTTGCAGACTAAGTCTGAAAGTCAGAAGTACAACCACCAGGGTGGTTGGTGACCTAATCAGATTTTGCAGCCAATTTGATTGTTTATAAATATTATTTGTCTCAGTTGCTAAGATAAATACAAATATTTACATTGAATGCAAAAAGGTTCCTTCAGGAAGAACTCTTTTAGAGCATTTGCTATTTTTTTTTTTTGTGTGTGTGTATTTTAGTATCCATGTAGACATCAGAAATTATGGCCCAGACCTGGTTAGTAGTTGATAAATGAGTTTGTGTGCAAGGCTTCTGAACAATGCTAACAGATTAAACTTTTAAAAATCCCAGTTCATTCTTTAGGCTACTCTTCGTGTCAAAGAAGCCATTTTTATGGAGCAGTTTATCATCTGGATACCAGATGTTCTGGAGTATATATATATATATATATATATATATATATATACAAACACACACACATACACACACACATATACATTCTGGAGTTTGTGTGTGTGTATATATATATGTATATACACACATATATATATATATATATATATATATATACATACTTTTTTTAAGATGATCTCTTCTATGGAAAAATATTTTTTATATTCTAGGGGTAAACTCATTTTCATATGTACAAAAGCTTATCTTAGCTGCACAGTTTTTTCTCTCCATTCAAAGAGTTAGGTTCTGTATTATATAATTTTATATATTCTTATTGCATCTACCCCAATTTATTTTTACAGTCAACCCATAGCCTTCTGTAAGCAAAGCACAGTGCTAAGAATTTTTGTGGAGAATTACAAAATAAGTGAAACATGAATGCTGATTTCAAAAAGGTTATGAGCATTTCTTTTGCTGATATAAAAAGATAACATGTAAACTTGTATAGAAAGAATAAGCTTTGGAACCCTAACCATAACCCTAACCCTAACACTAACCCCAACCCTAAACCTAACATTAAAAATAACACCCTAAAAAAAAAAAAGAAAAAGAAAGAAAGAATAAGCTTTGACAGTGACAATGTTCTTTAGGCCACCACCCACCCACTATAAAAAGGAAGGAGTGAATGAATTGCTGAGAATCTTGTTTATTTGGTCTGTTTAGGACTGATTATAGAATCAGTATCTTACCCCTGTTAAGTTCCCTTTCTCTGGAAGCTTCCTGCAATAGTTTTTCCAAAGCCCTTGCCTACGTGTCATGTCACATTAGCAAGCAGCAGGCCACATAAGACTTGGCTAGCATAGAAAAATCCTATGTTTCCTTGGGGAATACACCCTTCCCATTTGTTTTCAATTATTTTAAGTTATTTGTTCATCCTCTCAAGGTCTATCCCTTCTGGATGTTAATTGTGGGACAAATTGTTAGTTATTTTGATTGTTAGTTTGTCATTTTGAGTTTTTAAAAAAATAACTTATAAACATGTATATAATATTTGAAAGAAAGAAAAATAATATAGTAAGAAAAATGACGCAAGGGGAAAATAAGGACAGGAAAGGGCAAATGAAATAGCAATAAACTTACCCATTCTTCTCACACCACAAATTTTAGGTCCTTAAAGCAGACACTTCCAGGGTCCTTTCTCCATCTGCTCCTTCTTCCCAGTAGTCACTACGTTGCTCATAAGGCCCAAGGTGGGCAAGAGAGCGTGGAAAGAGATTCTTTTCTATTTTTCCCAGCACTAGCAATGGGTCTGGACCTGTCTTGGATGCAGATGGAAAGCTTCTTCTTCTCCTTCTTTTTTTTTTTTTTTAAATACATTTATTTATTTGGTGCTGAGGATTGAACTCAGGGCCTTGCCCGTGCTAGGTGAGCTCTCTACCACTGAGCCACACCCCAGACACCGCCCCCCCCCAAAGCTTCTTGATATGTAACATGGATCAGAGTTGCTTATTGATTCTTACAGTGGTTAGGGGCTTCAACTATCCCCGACCCATTCCCTTGTTATGAGCTCTTTCTCCGTGACCCTTGGCAGGTGGGTGTCAATTATCTTCAGTTAATATTCATTACAAAGGAAACATTTGCTGGCCCTGGGGCACATGCTATGCATTTGAGACAAAAACAGCTACCTTTAGGGATTCCTAGCTTCAAAGAGCTTAGAGACCTGTAGGACCTTGATATATACGATTTCTCAATCATGCCTTCTTAGACTCTTAGAAATATTAAAAGTTGACTTTTAAAAAAATTTTTTTTTGGTTGTAGATGGACTCAATACCTTTATTTTATTTCTTTATGTGGTGCTGAGGATTGAACCCAGTGTCTCATGCATGCCAGGCAAGCACTCAACCACCGAGCCACAACCCCAACCCCTTAAAACTTGACTTTAATACTTCTGAACCAGCTGCCTCCATCCTAATGTGTAGATATGTTTATGATACATTGTTAAGTGAGGAATGCAACAGGGCTGAGTAATGTGTAAAGTAGGATTCTTTTCATATAAAATGAACAACCCTCTGGCAGATGTATCCGTTGGTGTGCTAACAGGTTCATATAAGCAAGGAGAAGCTATGTTGAAAGACCTACAGCAAACTATTAACACTGGTTAGTATTAACAATTGGCTGGGATTGATTGATAGAAGGAAGATTAGGGGAGAGGGAGAGGATGAGTTTGTTCTTTAAATAGGAAAATGGCTAAGGATTATAAGAGCAATTAATAGCAATGTTTTACTACTATTAATAAGCACAATGAATGTGTACTGAAATCTATCACATAAAACTTTAAAAACATAATTAATAAATGAAAACTGTTTAGATCTGAAATTTTGGTTTTTGTTTTGATCAGCACATCCTGCAGCGAATTCAGAGACTTCAGGCCGACTGGGTCTTGGAAGTAGACACCTTTCTGAGTAAGACGCCCCTTGGGTACCGGTCTTTCTCAAATATCATCAGCACCCTTAACCCTACTGCTAAACGACATTTGGTCCTTGCCTGCCACTACGACTCCAAGTATTTTCCCCATTGGGACCACAGAGTGTTTGTGGGAGCCACTGATTCAGCTGTGCCGTGTGCAATGATTCTGGAACTTGCTCGAGCCTTAGACAAGAGACTTCTTTCCTTGAAGGTATCTACTTTCCTTTTGTTGACTCCTAGGATAACATATATTAGCAGTAACTCTGAGTGAACTCTGGAATCCTTGGGGAAGTGAGAAGGCCATTTGGAAATTGAAACTTTTTGGAATATTTTTGTATTTTGTTTCAAAATGATATGAGTTTGAAGCAATATTCGTTGGAAGATGACATGATTCAAATTGTCAGTGATGGATAATAAGCCTAAGATATGTGACAGTACATTCATTAATTGGCTCCTGATTTGCCATCCTTGAGTACATATTAAATTAAATGCAACATTTCTTTACAAATAATGAAGAAGGAGGAAGGTTAGTACAGGCCCAAATATAAGAATTTTGTTATATAATAAACTATGTTTATTTCTTATTTATACAGTGATGAAACATCACAACCTTCTGATTTGAGAGATGGTGGGTCTTGAGTTGGGGGAAGGGAGCTGCAGGGACGTGGTTCTAAAGTAGAGTGGGTAATTCAGACATATCGAGATGAAAAGCATGAAGCAGAAATGCATTATTGCTATTATCTCTGAATCTCAGCTCAATTTTATGTAGCATAGCAGAGCTTTTGTTATCCTCCCAGCTCAAAGTACTTTGGGGACTCTCAGATGTTATTTCAGTCTCTGTGTTCTCAGGGGCTATTGGAAAAAAGTGCTAAACTAGATGAAGACATTTTGTTCTGATATCACTCATAACCAAGTAAACACAACAAAGCAAAAACAAAAAACTTTGTTCATGGGCAAAAAATATCTTTTCTTCCCCCAGAGCTTTATGAAGGGTCCAACCTTTGATACAATGGGTATAAAGAAGTAAAAGGTTTATCTTGTAATGGAAGTAATAGAGATATTTGGTTCTATTTTTGTGGATGTCCTGAACTTGAAGAAAGCAAGGATTGTTTATACTCTCTCAGTATTCGTTTCTCTGGGTTTTTTTTTTCCATCTTATTTTGTTTTCTGAACCTTCTATGATGCTTTTATCCCATGTTCTGCCCTGCTTTTCACATGTGCTTTTCCCCAGCAATGGGTGAGGGAATTCAGAAGCTGATATAATAGCTTAATTTTTCATATTTGTATTTCTAGTGTAAGGACATGAAATGAAGCGTTATGTAAAGGCACGGTTTTGTTTAGCTGGTGTGTTTTCTCTTGGTGAGCAGCTTTACCTTTTGCCACATAGCTCACACATGTTTTTGGTGACCAGAAATAAAAAGTACTGAATGAATTGTTGGATGAGGATTGCCATTTAAAAATTTGAGTCACCATGTACGTTCTCTTCTTTGCCTTTTCTATTAGAGGTAAAGGGTGATGTGGAGGATTTTTTAAAAATTTTTTTGACTGTACACTTGGAGAGCATCAAATTTATTCTTCCAGTTATATTTTAACTAAATTATCATTAAGGTCTTATTCTAAGTTCTTCAGCCATCATATATTGGGCCGGTGATGGTGGGAAGTGACCTGGGAGATGGCAATTCTTGGCAGCCCTTCCCATCTCCAGTAATAGGATTGTAATTACATATCCACATCTTTTGCCTGTGACTTTGCTGTGTCCTCCCTTGTAGCAAGTTACACTTCCTCGTCCTTTGGCTCTGGATTTGGTTATTGACTTGCTTTTGTCAGTGGGTTGTTAGTAGATATGCCATGAGGCTGGGAATGTGCTTGCTATTTTGTGTCCTTCTTTGCTGTCACCCTGAGAAGATCAGACTCTGGCTGGCCTTCCAGTTCTAGCAGGAGGATCAGAGACACACATAGAGCAGAGGAAACCTCACTGAATGCAGGGTGAAACAGAGCTACTCCAGCCCAACCCACTGTAGGCTTGTTGTTCCCTGGCTGACTCATGGAAGATATGTCCCAGGAGCATTTATAATTATTGTGTTTAATCCATTGAGTTTGGGGTGACTTGTTATACTTTGTTACTGTGGCATTAGCTTAATCTCTTAATTGGGGATGGCTGCAGATAATTCACCAACCATGTGAACCCTGATAACTAGGCATTTATAATATTTTCATGAAGACCTGCACAAATCAGGCCACAAAGATTCTTCTAGCTCCAAGGTACAAGCTAAGTTACTAGAAATGGAAGGCCATTGTTATTTTTCTGTCATTCCTGAAAAGAAGCAAAAAGAGCAGGTGGCCTCATGGGACTCAGGGTCAGTGTCCACAACAGTCTACTCCTGCCTAAATGAACTTGTACTAAGAGAACAGAATGAAAGTAAGTCACTGCTCTGATTGTTGGAATCACCCTGTTGTTGAAATTTCAGTGAGGCACCCAAAGCTTTAAGCCTGCAGAAGATGGACACTACCTCCTGGAACTGCCCCCATGCTCTGGAATTATGCTGTTTGATTTGGAGCTAGAACTTTGGAAGCATTAAAAGTTCTTTAAATAGCCGGAAGCTTAGAATGTCTCTTCTGAAGAATACATCTTGCATCTTTGCCAATGAGAAAATCTATTTGGCTGCTTGGTACTTATTAAATCCTGAGTGCATGTATGTTGCACAGCTACATCCTCTGCTTAGTGCTATCAGGAGTTTTGGAGGTTTAAAATGAAATGAAATTTGTGGGCTAACTAAGGAGCAACATTAAGATGATCAAAATGTTTGGCAACAGATAACTTAGTTTTCAGATGATGAAGACACTTTCTTCTCTTTTTTTATGAGAGCACCCTAAAAACAATAAGAACAATTCCACCATTGAAGAAAGTAGGGCACACATATTAACAGAAACCACAACATGAAGGTAGAAGTGGATGGAGATGGCAAATGACACATCAGAATCGGGAGAGAATCAGATGAAGCCAGCTGGTCTCCTGATGAAATCCTGGAACGAGTCAGGAATTGGAGGAATGATGTTCTTAGGGAGGCAGAGGTGAGGCAGGGAGCTGGTGCAGAGAGTTTATAAATCCATATAAGGAACACTCAAATTTTACATTCCTGATTCATACCAGCAGATAGGGTAGGTGAGCGCCCCAGGGCACCTCTGAGAAGATGAGAGAATGTTTTCTAAAGAAATTGAATCAAGGAGATTCTGGACTTGGGGACATCAGATATAGACAAGAGCAGTAATGAGGTGCCACAGGGAAATCCGGGAGATTAAGTGAACATTTCTATATTTTGAACAATGAGATGGTCAGTCTTTTACCCATTTCCAGAACCCGATAACCAGCAGCCAGCAGATACCCACCAGATAGGAAACTGGAGGATTGGAGAATGTGGATCACCTTATGTCACAGAGAGGGACATTTGGGGATTCTCAATAAAAACACTTCATGGGTGCTAGATTATGCTGCAGCAAAGCTAACCGATTTGTGTCTCTAACCAGTGTTTCAGTGTTTATTCTTTAATATGAATAAACACAAAGGATGACCAGACATTTGAGAACAGTCTCCATCATGAAAGAAAAAAAAAGCAAAATAAATAATAAAAACTGAAAAAATGAAGTTGGAGGAAATAGAATAGTATAAGGAGCAGAAGATGACCCAACACTATTTTCAATATCCTTAGAGAGAGTAGTTACATCCATGAAACAAAACCAGAATGCATAATAACAGAACAATCACAGAGTAAGAAAAGGCTCTTGAGAATTAAAAATACTATTTAAATATTTTAAAAAAATATTTATTTTTTGATTATAGTTGGACACAATATCTTTATTTTATTTTATTTTTATGTGGTGCTGAGGATCGAACCCAGGGCCTCGAATGGGCTAGGCAAGCACTCTATTGCTGAGCCACAATCCCAGTCCCTATTTTAAATATTAATTTAAATACAATTGCAATGGTGTACACCTGTAATCCCAGTGACTTGGGAGGCCAAGGCAGGAGGATTGCAGGTTCAAGGTCAGCCTCAGCAACTCATCGAGACCTGTCTCAAAATAAAAAAACAAAAAAGGCTGGGGATGTAGCTTGGAGACAAACTATCCCTGGGTGCTTTAATTCCCAATACAAAACAAACAAAAAACTATTTTAAAACATCAGTAAAAGGGTTGGATTCTAAAGTAGAAGAACTATCTTTTCTAGAACGAAGAACAGTAAGAAAAGAGATAATGAATACTTCTGGAGAATCATTCCAGGAATTCCAATAGATCATATAAAAGTAGAATGAGAATGGCATTTGACTTCTCAGTAGAAATCATGGGAGCTAGAAGACCATGAAATTGGGCCTTGAATATTTTAAATAGAAATAATTTGCATTGCAGAATCCTCATATCCAGCCAAATCAAATATGACAACAGAATGAAGATATTTTCATTTGTGTAAAGGCTCAAGAATGTTCACTCCTATGTACTGTTTCATTTTAAAAGTTCCTTAAAAGACGTGCTCCAGGAAAATAATTGAAAAAAAAAAAAAGAAGAAGAAGAAGAAGTCATGGGATCTGGTTTCTGGGGCCATATAGGAGAGGCAGAGGGAGTCCCTTAGGGCATAATTGTTGTGCCCTGTTTTTTCAGTCCAAAATCTGGCTTATAACTTTTCATTGTGTAAATCATTGCATGGTTGTGATTCTGTTCATCATACCATTTTGAAGGTAACCAGAGCAGCAATGTATTCACCAGTGGCGCATGGTTGCACATTTTTCTTCTCGGGAACTGCAAGCCTGTGAGCTGAGAATTTGGTGCACTATTGATATATTTCTGAAAACTGACTTGTGTGGTTAGTTTAAAGTGCTGTGGTACTAGTGGTAAACACATCTTGTCTAAGTGGCACTGAGAAAAGTGCATCACATAACAAAACCAGTGATAGCCATGCAGACTCTTTGGCCACAGATTAAATTTTGTTAAATTTAATTCTTTGCAACACTGTAGTAAATTTTCTCAAGTGTAGTATTTTGACTATAATGCACAAATCAATGACAATCAATATGTCACTTCTTTTTCAGACTGGAAATATGTTTGCTAAATTGTCATGAAGAAATGTGTGCCAATTTGGACTCTTCAGTTTTAATATATAGTCATAAATACTCTGTGCATCCTAATCTTGCGTCATAGACAGTTTAGTAATAAGTGATTTTTAAGTAATACTGGCATAATTTAAAAAAAATTTACACAGTGGTCATACCCCCCACTTTTTTTCCAAAAAATATTTCTGTTTTTTTTTTTTTTGGCACAAAATCTGTGATGATTATGTGGTAAAATACAGTATGAAGGCTGAGAGTTGACTTTTAGACTTAGCCATGTAGAGGTGATAGTGTCCTCGACAAGAGCAGTGTTAGTAGATGGAGGAGATAAAGCCTCATTGGGGTAGGTTTAAGAATAGGAATTGGAGACAGTGAAAATAGATAAACTCTGTCAAGGAGTTTTTCTGTAAAAAGGCTTAAAAATGGGGGTGGAAATAGTGGGGCCAAATATTTTAAGATGATAGTTGCAAATGTGTATTTTCAGGTTGATGGGGATTATCCAGCAGGAATAGAAACATTGATGATGTAGGAGAAATGGTATTTTTGGAGTGATGTCCTTGAACAAATGAGAGGGGATAGGATTTAGAGCACACATGGAGAGACTGGCATCTAATATGAGCACTGCAGGAAGAAATCAAGGTCATCAGTTGGGAGTGAGCTCGGCTGAGGTTTTGCAGGTCAGGGAGAGGAGGAATGTGAAAAGCCAGCAGAGTATGAGGGTGAATGAGCCAAGAACAGTGTGACTGAAGCTCACATGACACGCCAACTTGAGGTTTGTGGTCATGAATTTTAAGCAAGACCAAACAGTGTGGTTGGTTCAGCTCCATGAGAGCAGGCACAAGGTAGGTAAAGAATTGGACGTAATGTTTTGCCAGGAAGGTCTGACCAGGCAGAGAGAGGCAAGGGAGCAATTAGAATGATGTACTGGAGTTTAAGCTGAATGTGGATTGAAGTGAGAATATCATGGGGGCCAAGGGCTGTGAAAAGGTAAACAATTCAGTATGAGTGATTTCAGTGGGGTTGAAGGATTGTGGGGATTTCAGGACCAGAAGGACTAACCCAAAAGGTAAAAGTTGTCCAAGAGTGTAAAGTGTAAAGTGGATCAGAATCCTATTCACCTTCTTGGCCTGCTCAAATACTGTCTCTTTTATAATGCTTTCCTTGATGTCCCAAGGATTTTTGTCTCTCACTCTATCCAGTTTTCTGAGGACTTATATTACACTTGTGGCTCTTGGCACATTTTACCATGCTTATGAACTTATTTTATCTCTCCTAACCCAACTAAAGTGTGGGCTGTTTAAAGGAAAGCCTATAATTTTTCTTAGTGTCCCTATAACATTCCTAGGGCAGATTCTTGAATGTAGGTTCAATAAAAAATTGCAGAGTTCAGTAAGGTGAGAGGCAAGAAAGATGTGCATTTATTTCAATCTGTGTTCCCCAGGAAACACATTCTGATGTGGAGTTTAGCATTCAGGTCATTTATGAGGGAGGATGAACACTGGCAGGGAAAAGATATGGAACTGGACAGGGAAGAAGCCAAGCTGCGGTGTGCCAATCTCTGAGGCGCTCTAGAGGCACAACCACCATTAGGGAGCCCTTCACACCTGTTTAGGCCAGTTACAGGATGTAGGACTAGCCCAGAATGGGCAACCCAGGCAGTCCTTGAAGCTGCTGACAGCTCCCCCAGCAACTGGGGTATCATGTCCCCCTGAAGGGGAACTGGTGGCCTATCACAGGGTTCATCACAGCAGTTCCATAGTTTCACAATTCTCTGGGGAGTAAAAACAAATGTAAGACTTCTATTTTCAGAGGGACAGAGAGAAGGTGAGATTTATATGAGTGTAGATCATGGGAAATGTGATGATTTTTGGAGAGGAAGTGGTGTGAAATAAAATTTGGCATCATTTCACTTGCTTTGGTATCTTTCTTTCTTTATGGCATGTCTGTTTTTTTCTCAGTTAATAAGAAAGAGTGCTGTTTTTTATTTTATTTTTTTAATCATCACAGCATTTTCGTTCTCGTTTTATTGCTCTTTTTGCCAGAATGCCTTTGACTCCAAGCCAGATCTCTCACTCCAGCTAATTTTCTTTGATGGGGAAGAGGCATTCCTTCACTGGTCTCCTCAAGACTCTCTGTATGGGTCTCAGCACTTAGCTCTGAAGATGGCGTCAACCTCACACCCACCTGGAGCAGGAGACACCAACCAACTGCATGGCATGGTGAGTCTGGATGATTTCCATGGAGCTGCAGCTCAGGCTCTGCCTCTAAAGAAAAGGTTGCTAAAGCCAAGTAAAGACCTAAAAGTGCCATGAAATCCCTGGAGTAGAGTGTTTATCATAGAACATTCCTTGGCAGGCGTTGGGTTTTTGAGGAATCCCAGAGCTACGAAAAATGATTCTGGGTTAGAAGCCATGTTTGACCGAGCTTAATTAAAATGATGTAAAAAATCAGATTCAGGAATCATCAGATTCAATTTGGTTTAAGGGCAGCACGGTCTTCAAATAGTGTATGGAGGTAGAGAGAGCAAATTCCTTCTTTGAAGCCTTTGTAAAGGCAATGGAAGCTGGTGTCCTGGGAAATGGGGTAAGGGGAGGATGGGGATGAGGAATTTCTCAGTGTCATGAAAACATTGTCATCATTGTAGTGGGCATATGATATTTTCATGTGTTGGTTTGATTGTGGCATTTTTGACATGAGGGTTGGGGACATTTTGATGCTGCCTTAAAACCCTGCTACCCTAGCAGGAAATGGACCCAACACCCAGCCTCATTTTCTCATTCGTATTCCTGAGTTCACATTCCATCCCTAATCCCTCACCCCCTATTCCTGAATCCTTTCCTGACTCTGACACTCTTCCCATATTTATCTTTACTCAGTTCTCAAGACTTCACTAACTCCACCTTGGGACCTTGTGTTACTTCATTCTTCCCAGGATGCTTCATTCATCCCTAATCCTCATACCATGCATAAATGATAACCTGTTCCTAAACTCTCCACTGGCCTTCACCATAGGAGTCTAAGTGGTCACATTTAATGTCTTCTATGACTAACATACCTTAAGTTTGTATTATCCTGTGTAGTGTCCATTGGCTGCTCATAATGGGTCAGGGGAATATAGTCCACGCTTCATTCATTCACTTGTGCCCAAGCAACTAAAAGGTCCGAGAAGGAGGAGAGAATTGGTTGACCAGCATAAGAACAAAGTTATTTATTTTTCAGTCTATATATATGAATCCATAGTGATGGCAAAGACCGCTTTTTTTTATCCCCAGAACAAATTTTTGATAGCTTACCCAACCTTGTTAATATGTTCCTGCTTCAAAGGTTATTATTTTTAAAATGCATGCATTTAATTATCATTCATGAGTTCATAAATACTACCTCTTTAGAACATACTCTTTTTTAATAAAAAAATGAATAAGTGTATCTTTATTTCTTTTAGAATCACAGACTCTGACAGCATTCATCTACTATGTGTCAAGATCTATACTAGATATTTACCCACACATCATTTCACTTATATAAATCAGGAGGTCTTAAGCTAGGAAGTAGTCTTGAGGGAGTCCTCTTGCCTGCTGATGCTTTATGGCTCAAATAAGTCAAGGAACACTGGTTTAATTATAGAGGCATATAACTAGAGAGGATCTTTAGGGATTAGCTAGTTGGAGCTCTTCACTTGATTCACAAGGAAATGGAAATCTGGAGACACAACGTTATAAAGCTCCTTTACAAGGACTTTTTCTTTCCTGTTCCTTGATGGATAGTTACAGTTTATTCAAGTGCTTCCAATACACTGTCATGTCATCACAGATTAAAGGTAAAATGGCTAATTAGAGGGAGTAGAAGATCTGACAGGCTTGGACTTCCATCTGAAAATAAATATACTCTTCTTTAATCTATGAAATCCGGATGTCACTAGTATCCTTCGTGACATCCTTTTTGGGGGGATGTATGCACAAAGAATTAACACTTTGCCAGTTTGTCCACATTGCATAAGCAAGATTGAAAAAGTTCTCCAAAATAACTAACATACAATATTACCAAAGCCTTTGTTCTTTTTTAAAATATTGATTAAAATGTTATTGTGTTTATTTAAATTATCCAAGGTGATGTTTTGGGATACATATAGATAATAAATGGTTACCACAGTGAAGCTAGTTAATATGTCCATCCTCTCATGTACCTGCCTCCCCTTTGTTTATTTGGCAAATGCATCTAAGACCTGCTCATCTAACAAGAGTCCTGAACACAGTACACTCTTATTAACCACAGTCCTGAGATTGTACATTAGGTCATAAACTCTTCCCTTACATATCTGCTACTTTGTGTCCTCTTACCTGTATCTTCCCATTTACTCCCCATTCCCTGACAGAAGCTTTTCTCTCTTATTAAAGCTTTTGTTGTTTTAAATAGCTCCCTGTAGCATTTTCAATTACTAAAATGCAGTTAGCTTTGACTGATTGTTTTTCCCTGTTGATGAGTATGAAGCATACTTAGGTGACTGTGATTAAGTAACCATATTTTTCTCCCTTAGGATTTAATGGTCTTATTGGATTTAATTGGAGCTCCAAACCCAACATTTCCCAATTTTTTCCCAAGCTCTTCCAGATGGTTTCAGAGACTTCAAACAATCGGTAAGCACCATTAATAGAAAGTAACACATGACTTCTTTGTACTGATAAACACTACATTTTTAAAATTCAAATTTTATGATTTAAGTGTATGATTTAAATGTGTAATGCACTTTAATGACCTTTTTCTTGCCTTAATGATTAGTTTGTAATCCTTACCCATATCTTTAATAGGGCCAGTTTATTTTACTGTGTGTATCTGTATTTTGAAAAGGAAAAGTTTCAATGTAGTATTTTAACTACATTCTACATCTGCATATTATTAGGAATGGTTTGAAAATATTTCCTCGGAATCCTGTTTGATGCATATAGAATGAATTTCTAGGGAAAACTTTCCTTAGCAAAGTGTGTCGACTAATGATGAATATTATGTCTTTATGATGATACCAAAAGATAGTCTTTAATTTTTATTCTGTTCTCTTTCTACTTTTATCATCATCCATTTTCTGCCTTAAATAGACATTATTTTCTTTCTTTTTTTTTTTGTAGGATTCAAACCAAGTGATATTTTTCTTAATAGAGCTCATTAATTTAATTTTAGATTCACAAAAAAATGAACAGGTAATACAGAGAATCCCCATACACCTCCCCTGATCTTTACCTCCTCAGTTTACTTGATTATTAGTATCTTGTGATATTGCAATACATTTGTTAAAATTGAAACAGTATTGATATATTACTAGTAACTGTATATCATCAAATAAAGTTCTTAGCTTACATTAAGATTTATTCTTCATATTATGTAGTTTTCTTCATATTATGTAGTTTCCTGTGGCTCAAAAGAGAGGTTTTTATGAATGTATAATGTTGGGTATCTACCATTACATTATTACAAAATAATGTAACTCCCCTAAACATATCCTGTGCTTATCTATTTATCTTTCCTCCCTTTCCTCAGGAAAACAAAAATCTTGCTTTTCTTCTTCTTCTTCTTTTTTTTAAATCTTTACCTCTATAGTTATGACTTTTCTAGACTGTCACAAAGACAAAAATATACATGCATCCTTGACAGACTTGGACTGTTTCACAAAACTATATGCATTTAAGCCTCCCCCCACCTCGGGTTGTATACACAGTATATTTACACTAATTTGTGTCTTCATATTATTGGATAATAATGATCATCACATTCCACCATCATTAATTACCCAATACCTCCTCCCTTACCCTCCAACCCCTCTGCTCTATCTAGAGTTTGTCTATTCCTACCAAGCTACTGCTTCCTATCAAAAAATATTTGATAAAAGTCTCCTTTTATCAAATATTTTTTTATATAATACAATCTCAGCTAAATTTTTTAAGGAAGTAAGTGATCAGGATACAAGAGAAGAGATCCAGTAAGAGCCATTTAAACTTTAAGCCAAATAAATGGAGGGTTAGTAGGAGAGATCAAGGATGATCAGGCCAAGGAACAGTGATACCCTGTGGCTCAAAAGAGAGGTTGGGACTTAGAGAAAGGAAAGCCTAACTTCTTCCCTTCATGTTCCCATCTTTATAAAACCAACAGAACAAAACAAGACAAACCATTGAGGCGTCAGGAAAAGATGAAACCGAGATGGATTTTTATAATAAAACCCAGGCTAGGAGGCTGCTTTTGAAGCAATAATTTCATGCCAGAAATGTTTTATGGGACACAAAGACTTCTTGGAGAAAGATGGAATTTTATTATTTCTAAGCAGTGGGAAAAGCACGCTGTCTTAGCTCATGCCTTTGCCATGACTTAAGAATTTGCCAGTATCAAGATCTAGACACGATACAAGAGAAACTTGAATTTCCAGATTCTTGTCTTTGGCGAATTTCAATTCCTTTTTGAAAGAATCATTATTCTGGCATTATTGATATAAACTTCTTGGACCTCTTTCTTACACCATGTTTTTCTTAGTTTTTTGGTAACCTCCAGAGATTGAGTTTATCTTCTTTTAAGGAATTTGCATTCTTCTTTTATTTCTTGTACTCAAATGAACTTATATCAGTAACATTTACCTTAATGCAATTTTAATGCATTGTGCTACTCCTCTGCATGGTATTTACACTTCAAACTCTATCTCTAATTGTATAAGGAAAATTTTTTGTCCTATCACAAAGGAATTATGAATATCAATAAATAGGAATATTGTTTTTGATGGTGGCTACAGCTTCCCAATATTCCAAAAATCATATCATATGTGCTTGCTTACTAGATGGCCTAGTTTCACCTTATAAATCTAGCAATTAAAAAATAAATAGCTATCTTAGGAACTTTTATTTAGTTATTTTATAATCTTCTTGTGATTGTTCATCATCTTGTAACATATGTCACATAGGTTTTATGTACTTGGGTTATATGTTCAAGATGACAAGAGTGACAGAATGTAGGATAGTGGTTCTTGAACTTGAGTAAGCATCAGAATGTCTTGGAGGGCTTGTTACAGCACAGGTTGCTGGTTTCCACCCCAGAATTTTTGATTTGGTAGATCTGAGGGGAAACTAGATAATATCCATTTCTAACTAGTTCCCAAGTAATGCTGATGCTACTAATCAGGAACCACTCATGTGGGTCACAATAGGTACTTCTTTTTCATATAGTGGTCTTTTGACATACTTCATCCTTATTATGTTTGAGTATTCCACTTTTAAGCTCCATATCTCTTCTTTAGGCATTCTTTATGCAGCATTTGGACTTATAAGCACCTACATACCTGAGTGAACCCCTCTTTTCCTTTGATTTCTCATTCTCCATCATCTGTTGAGTTTCCACCTTCAAGGAGATTCTCATCTGAAAGGTTAAAGCCATTTCTCTCTCTTCCTACTCTAAATGTAAATACTAAATTTAATCAGATGTGTATTTTCTTGGTATGGCCATGCTCACTGCTGCATAGTCTTTTAAAAAATGATGGCTACATGTACTAAGATTCCAACTCCTTCAAAAGGATGTTTTGAGTCTTGATCAGATAAAAATAGATATTCATTTGCTATCTAATTATCATCTGCAGAACATGAACTTCATGAATTGGGTTTGCTCAAGGATCACTCTTTGGAGAGGAAGTATTTCCAGAATTTGGGTCACGGAGGTATTATTCAGGATGACCATATTCCATTTTTAAGAAAAGGTAAAGTTTGTGTGTGTGTGTGTGTACATGCGCGTACACGCGCGCGCACGCGCACACACATGCACGTGTGTGTAGCAGTACCTCTGCAGGTGCACTTATTTATTATCTATTGTATTTGTTGTATTTTATGTGCATTTTGAAATTTTAAGGCTACATATCACTTATCTCCTCTTTAAAGTAAATTAAGATCAATGTTTTCAGCCATGGCTCATCCTCAGACCTTAGTTTCCTGGTACCATCAGATAATTTTCTTCAGTATTGAAGATTTTCAGGTCTCTAACATGTGTGTACATTCAAGGAGCATATTAAACATAAATAATAACTAGTGCTTTATAATCACTAAGACTGTTCTTTAAGGATTGACTATGCTAAATTTCTGTATTAATGATTTGAACCAATCCAAAAGTATTTAAAATATTTAAAAATAGACAATAAAATTAATTTGATTGAGAACTATAGTTTCAAAAGGAAGTATACATGTTGTACTAGGAACAAACTTTGGCCAATATGTATCTTCTGATTATGTGCCTATAAGCAGTTAGATGCTTGAACCACATTAAATGAGAAGGAAGAAGTCTAGACGGTTCCTCACCTGATCTTTAGTGACACCAGATATGATTTAGATGCAACATATAATGCTTTTACTTTCCCTTACCAGGCCTCTCTCTTCAGGTTATAAAATGAAATGATGGAACCCACCATTGTTCATTGATATGGAGGAAGACTGGCTTCAAAGTAAATTTTACTTTCCCAGTGTTGCCCTTCTTAGTGAACAGTCTACATTTATGTAGTTGTTCAGGTCAGACTCTTGGGAGTTGTCCTTAGTTTGTCTCTTTCCTTGTGATCCACATTCATATCTAACACACATCCATTTTTAGGTCTTTGTGGTAGCATCCAAGTTGAATACTGGTGTGCAGTACTGGACTTTAGTAATAATTCTTATTCCCTCTGATTTGCAACAATCTATAAGTGTGAGGAACCATTAAATTTAATTAACAGAGAGAAGGGGTTAGAAGGTGTAGCTCAGTGTAGAGTGCTTGCATAGCATGCAAAGGGCCCTGGGTTCAATCCCCTGTACCAGGAAAATAAACAAACAAAAACTAAAATAAAACAAAGCAAGAAAATAAAAAATAAAGAAAAGAGAAAAAGAATGAGAGAGAAGTTGGAGGAGAGAAGATAAACCCTTCAAGGTCTTATCCCCAGTGACTACTTGACTTACTTCCTTAAATTAGGTCCTACCTTCCAATGATCCATTCAGCCATCAACAGATGAATCCGCTGATGACGTCAGAGCCCTCATGATCCAATCACTTCCCCAAAGCCCCACCTCTGGACATTGCTTCATTGGGGACACTGAGCTTTGGGGTTATTCCAAATCTAAACCATAACTTTAACTATCTACCATATCATAATATGGCTTGTATTTTTTTTCATGGAAGTCATTCCAAATCCTGAGGACGCTTTCATTTTTTTACATGTAGAATATTGATGAGAGCCTATATAATATGATATCCTGCCTCACCGCCTAAAAAGTTAGGTTGTATTTTTGCACTTTGTGTAACTCTAATGTTGTCTGGTCAATAAGGGAGCAATATCCTTGTGTCAAGATGGTGGAAGTTTTTTGGTAGATGGGTATATCTAAATTAAGCATTTGTAATACAAAGTCCCTTTTCACTTCTGTGTCTATAAAAGTTCTAAACATGCTTTTAATTGTTAAACTTCCTAATAACCTCTATGCATCACTTCTTCTAAGTTATTGATCATATCCTATTATTGCATTTGGTTATATTGTGAGAAACTTTTTATTATAAAGACCATATGAAGATATGAATTGTATGTAAATATTGTCACCATGTAGTGTATACACTGTACATTTAAAATATTAATCCAATAAAGATTTTTTGAATTTGAAAAAAATGGAATTACAGTAAAAAAGAAGGGATGTTGGAAGTCTGAATCAACCCAAGGACTCTTGCAGTAGCCTCCCAACTGAGTTTGTTCCCAGATTTTATTCTTGTTTCTCTATTCTTTGTATAGGAGTTAGAGCTATCTTTTAAAAATGTAAATCAAATTGTGATAGTTATTATTTTAAAGGTCTAGTGGCTTTCTCTTATAGAAAAAGACCTGAAGTCTTTACCATTGCTTATAACACCCTCCATTTTCTGGCTCTGTTCTTCTTCTTCAATATCACTTTCTACCTCACTTTCCAGGTGTTGCTGTGATCCAGCCACACTGGCAGTCTAGTTGTTCTTCAAGCGGGATAAGCACATTCCTGCCTCAGTACTTTGCACTTGCTAATACTGCTGTCTGCAATGCTCAATCCTGGATCTGTGCATGGCTTGCTTTCCCTTCCTTTGGTGTGTGTCCCCCCCACCCTGTTACCTGCCTCTCATCCTTTATTCCTTTACCTTATTTAATTATTCTTTTTTTATATACCTTTGTTTTATTTATTTATTTTTATGTGGTGCTGAAGATTGAACCCAGGGCCTTGCACGCACTAACTAGGTGAGCGCTCTACTGCTGAGCCACACCCCCAGCCCCCTATTTAATTATTCTTAATAAACTTTATCACTTTCTAAAATTATGTTTGATATGTGTTTATTTGCTTCTTTCTCCACTGGAATGCAAGCTTCACATGGCATGGCTTTGTCTTTTCACTAAAGAAACTTCAACTCATAGAACCAGAACTGGTGGGTAGTAGGTGCTTTTTACTTATTTAATGAGTCAATTATTACTTGTTTAAGGAGTGAATGTTTTTGGAGTACGAGAGTAAGATATAAAGAAGTGTCCAACAGATGATGAATTATCAGGTGTCCTTATGTGGTACAGAGTTCCCTCTGCTTGCAGAAAGCCACTTTCTGCTTTACTTGCTGTCAACCTGCCCCAAATGACAAGTGGTTTCTTTCTTATTAGGTGTTCCAGTTCTGCATCTGATACCATCTCCTTTCCCTGAAGTCTGGCACACGATGGATGACAATGAGGAGAATTTGGATGAGTCAACCATTGACAATTTAAACAAAATCATCCAAGTCTTTGTGTTGGAATATCTTCATTTGTAGTATTCTGGTTTAGTACATGGTAATTGTTTCTGCACCAAATTCAAAATTCAAGGCACCATTTAAATAATCCGATTCCAGATAGATGCTGTATGGAAGCTTCTATCCTGGAGATGCGTTTTGTAGGTATCTTTGAATATGTGATCAATGAATTACAGAATTATGTCTTGAATTACCTATTAATTTTCATCTAGAAATAATAGGGAACACATAAAGAAAACAGAAAATAAATGTCTTTAAAAATTCTTTAGATAAAAGCAATTAAATGAAATCAGATTCAATTATTTAATATCATAGTTTTTAAACAGTACTTAAATATGATGGTGGTGTGCAATATGTAACCTTAGTTTTGTGATTTTTCAACCATGGAAATGTATTTTATAATATAAAACAGAGATGTACTTTGAAGACTTTCAAATTTCTTTGAGAAATGTTTGTAGGGTTAATTTCAAGGAATTAAAATAAGAATTAAATGCCATGTTGTGAATTTCTTTGTCATATATATAAATGAAGAAGTATGTAATTAAATTCGCAGCCCAATTTTTATAGTTTTGCAACTTTATTCTTGTAAAAATAATATAGTCACTAATAAAAGCATTGGAAAATTGATTAAATAAGAATATCCTATTGTACTGACAGAATCATCATTGCTTTTAAAGTTTTTTTCTCTATTTTTTTTCAGTGCAGATTTTTCTTATATAGGTTTAATTAAAAGGCTTATTATTTTGGCCTGTTTTCCCCTGTTAATCATTGTAATTACCAGACAGGTATTTGTTGTTTTGGTCTTGGATTGAGCTGAAGACAGACAAAGATCATTGAGTGTGACCTTTAAAGTCAATATTTTTTAAAAAATATTTTTTATTTTTCTTTATTTTATTTATTTATCTATCTTTATGTGGTGCTGAGGATCAAACTCAGTGCCTCATGTGTGGTAAGCAAATTCTCTACCACTAAGCTACAATCCCAGCTCCTTTAAAATCAACATTAAAGTAACAGTTAAAGCACACTAGTTATAATAATTTTTGCGCAGGTAAATTATATGGTATTCAAATTTGGCTAATTACTTATAGCATATATTTTTTTCCCCTAGAAATACATAGGCCACACAAATTGCCTTTAGTCTTAGGAGACAATTATCTAGAAATATAAACTTGATCAACTGAACAATTAGGAAATTGATCCTGCCAAATAGATGAAGTTGGTTGGGGCCACTGTTCTCTGTGTTCGGAGTAGACAGTAAATAATCACTGAATTATTCTGCTGAGGCCAAATAGAGTGAGACAGACCAGGTAAGTGGGGAAGCAATGCCAATTTTAAGTTCAGTGACAGTGTAAGTCACTGGAAAAGTAGTTTCCTTGCTTAAACATACTGTCCAGGTAAGAGAAGTATAATTTAAAAATTTATGGCTATGTATAATTATAATCAAGAATATAGTTAGATTCTTGAATTTACCCTCATTGAAAATGTATCCAGAATCACATAGCTAATAAGTGCAGTGGGATCTGAACCCAAGCAGTCTGGCTCTAAACTTATGTTTGGAACCACTGTAAAGCATTGCCTCTGTACACAAAAAGAATTTTGCAGAGTATTCTCAATGCCAAATGCAAAGCAACATTTGCATCTTGAAGTTTTTATAGGTCATTCCTTCTATCTGGGGAAACATTCTTAAATCCTTATTACCATGATCTACCTGACAATGTCAAGCATCAAAGGCACATCATCTCTGTGCATAATTATTTCCCCACCGTACCAAAGGCTATTTTACATTAGCATGGGTATAACAGAAAATCAACACAAGGGCTTCTGGGGCTAAAGAATCTAAGCCACAAAGCAGGATTAAAGGGAGCTGAATTTTTGAGATTAATTTTTTGGATGAGAGAAAACATTTGAAAGGAGTTCAGGGAAAACATATTCTTTTTTTTTTACACCATAAGAGTAATGGTTTAACTGATGGTATTATTGTTTAATTGCTAAATGGTTTAACTGATGATAAACAGCATGAAAATAAGTTTTCACAAGGAACTTACACATTAGTTGACAGCACTGCATATATAATTATAAGCTGAAATGATAAGCTCCTTTTGAGGCAGAGTGAAATTAATAGGAGATCTACTATAATCTTTTGAGTTGGCATTGGTTGAATTATTTTTAGAGGAGGTTGAGGGATATGTTGAAATGAGATGACGGGAAAAGTGAAAACATAAGCAGCTTAATCCAGTGAAGGTTTCCTTGCTTTAGACTGGCACATCCTGAAATTCACTAAGAATGTGCATTAATATGAGAAAAGCAATCATGATGTCATAAAGGGAGACATTTTAAGGTATTAACTTTGATATTAATCTCTGTAATATGTTCTGTGTAATTCATTCTAGTCAGAAATATTACTTTTTGAAAATTATGGCCATAAAGGCGGTGCTCCATAAACATTATGTTACATTTGGAATTTTTCTGTAAGCATTTTGGAGCATTTTACTGCCCCTCAGAGAACCATTTGTATGTTTCGCCTATGACTGTCAACCCTGAAATACATAGGGTTATTTTTCTTCTTCAGGAGAAGTGAGTTCAAAGGAAAATATTCATAAAAGAGCATTCATAACCTTGGCATCTAGAAAAATCATGAGCCTGTTATTGTAGCTTGAGGGCTGTGGCTGGAAGAGAAAAGACAGATCCTTCGAAATGGAGAAATGTTTTAGATAGTGAAGCAGTTGTCATAAGAACAAAGCAGCCCATGTTTCCAGGTCTAGCTTCAAATCCTGAAACAGTTTATTCCATGAAGCTTCTTTCTTCCATCAAAGAAATACATTCATTATGGTGTTACAGCAAAACCATGTGAAAACTGAACATTTGCTCCATCAGCTTGGCCCAGCTGGAGGTGATTACTTTGCATAAAGGAGGGATGGATAAGACTCTAGAAGCTTCCATTTCTCTAATGCACAGACAGCCCCACAGGAGGCTTGGTCATGGTCTATTCTGTTGAGTATTACATTTCAGTTTTTTTTTTTTTTAGGGCCTAAATCTGAGAAATGAAGGCTTGGAGATAAAGGAAATAAATAAAGAGAAATTGAAAGAGATTATTCAGGACAGCCTCAGTAATTTAAAGCAAAGTGAATGTAGGAAATCTGAGGAAATTATTGAAGTTTGCTATTCGTGAAGGCTTGGGACTGTGCTTTCAAGGCCAGCCTTTTCGTCAACTTCTGGCTTCAAAGATGAATGTAAGAAAGATTGAGGTTTCCCTCTCAGTTTCAGGGCCATTTTCTACACAGCCTGAAACTCTAAAAGTTGTTTTGAAGTGGTTTTACTTCCTCCCCTTACGTCCTCCTCCAGTCTCACTTCTCTAACGTATATGGTACATCTTTTTCAGCTTTCAAATAGCAAAATGACTGCTTTGTTGCAAAGGGCTGATACCACTGTGCAAAGCCACTACTGTGCTTCATGGAAGGGCTGGGGCGAGAGGAGAAGTTGCTAGCTAATTGAACCCATAGGGTGGTACACGATCCCCCTCTAATCTTCTCGAACACGAAAATTGTCCCCAGACTCCTGGAAATACAGCCTGCAACAATAATTTATGACCTTTTTGAAGAGAGCTGGGATGAAAAGACCGTCTGTGTCGGGGCTGTATCCCTTTGCCTGAGTTTGGTTGGGGAGCTCACGCAATGTGAAGTCATCTAATGGGGCTCAGATTTCAAAGACAAGGCATGGACTCTAGCCCACTCTCCCAACGAATCCAAATTTGCCAGTAGAGAGTTTAGACCATGTGTTTGAGAATTAATATCAAGAGCACACAATTGCCAAAAAAAAAGCAACATGGCTTAAATCAAACAAACAAAATCCAAAACCCCAAAACAAAGAAAACCCAAATTCACAAAGATGACAAAGGTAACATTAAAATAGATTTAAAAACTGACAAGTTTATATAAATCACACTGAAAACTTTATTCTCTTACACTTACTTAGCCCTCTGTCCTTGGCATTCATGGATTTTATATTTGTGGTTTTGGCTAACAAAGAATGACACTTAGTAAATTCTGTGACCAGAAAGAAGTGAATGAACATGATGGCCCCTTGCCATCGATGTCACTGCTCTCTAGTGCCCACTACACCTCTGTTAAGACTACTGTTCTTGCTGGAGGTACACTTAAAGAAGTCTAGAAAAGTGATGGTACAGAGAGTAGCTTTGTAAGTTACTTTAATCACTTGTCAAAAGAAGAATTAAGAGTAGGAAAAAGATCACTTTAGTTTTTTTCCCAATGTTTTTAATGGGGCAAATTTTATGTAACAATGATATTCAAAAGTAGCTAAGATCCCTTTTGGGTCATACTAGAGTTATTTCACATCAAGGAATTTATTACATTATTCCTTTGATAGGTTTACCCATGTTGTTGTACATTAGTATCCTCATTTTTTAAAGAAATGAACACAGAAATTAAATTATTCTCAATTGATGCTAGGAGTAGACTCTGGGGAATTTAATTTTTGATGCACAACATTGTCTAATTTCAGGCTGATTCTGAGGGGTCTCAGAAATTTTCTAGCTTATTGGTTTTTAGCTGAGAGTAGGGGGCATGTAGAAATTGTGTGTGTGTGTGTGTGTGTGTGTGCACGTTCATTAGAATGTGTTGCCTACTTGTTCGTTTGAGGGTTGGGCTGGGGGTGTGGCTCAGCTGTAGAGCGCTCACCTAGCATGTGCAAGGCACTGGGTTCCATCCTCAGCACCACATAAAAATAAATAAATAAAATAAAGGTATCATGTCCAACTACAACTAAGAAAAAAAATAAATAAATAAAAAAAGAAAAGGAAAAGAAAAGATTGAGGGTTGCTTCTTGCATTTAGTGGGCAGAGGCAAAGACAAATGTTCAGGCCAGTCTGCACAATAACGAATTGTCCCAGCCCAGTGCCAATGGTGCCTTCCACTGAGAAACACTGATTAGTTTCCAGTATCAGATCTAGAGATCTAGAGAGGCTCAATCATTTAAGTTTCTTTGTTTGCAAGTGACCGCCCCCCCCCAAAAAAAAATTAAAATTATCTGAGAAAAACAGAATTACTTCATGTCTGTGGCTTTAGACACCACAGAGTCCGAAACCCCATCTCTTCTTCTGCTTTGTTGTCTGAGCTTAGGTAAGTGCTTCCTCCTGGGGCAAGATGGATGCTAGTAGCATCAGGTTCATATCCCCATAACTCCAGGTTTAGGAGAGTATCCATCACCTGTACAGCAGTTCCACATGGTCCAAGTGAGTTTTTAACCTCTGGTGGCCAAGTCTCTGAGCTGGAGGATGGAATGCCCTGATGGACTTTGACTTATACCCATCCTTGTAGCAGGGTGGAGGATCAACCTCACCAAACTACAGGGAGGAAGGTGGGACAGGGAGGTGTAGAGAAATGATGCTGCACAAATAAGGACATCAGATGTTCACTATAGTAGGCAAGTGACCTAGGTGTCTTATCCATGGTATCATGCTTTCTTTCTCTTGTGGCAATA